GATTCCTTTGTCAGATAACATGATGGTTGAACAACTGCAAAAAATAAGAAATTCACAAGTCAAATTACAAGTAAAAAAAACCCCAGTTTGGGGTTTTTTAAAAAAAAAAATTGGCCTACATGGCCTAAGCTGCCATCATCGCCCAAGTCGTAGAACCTTCACGGCACCAGAACGTGCTACAGCTCTAGTAGTAAGGCCTATGACGCGGCACTAGTGCAACCTAAGCTGCAGCATAGCCCGGCTCATGCCAGCACCACACCACCTCAGCTAGCCAATAGGCTTGGCCTACGATGCAACAAAGTAGAAATAAATAAATAAAAGGTTGCAGCAACAATCGTCGCGTCACTCCAGTCTTCGCATCACAACAACAACCGACCAACCAAGGTCAGCTTGTCCTAGCTGCGAAGAAAATCAAAGAAAAAAAAAACCAAGCTTGACCTACCTTCAGTGGAGGATCTAGGAATTTTCCTTGTAGGGGTCAAATTTTCAATATAAGAAAGTACTATATGTATTTCTCTTTTGTATATTACAAATTATGTACAGTATGTTTTCTTGTTGATGATAACGACGATATTGATGATAGCGACTTTCGTTTATAATTCTTTTAGCCGCTTTGATAGAGGGCTTGTTTCCAGGAAATATATTACCAAGAAAAATATTTGTAAATTGTAATAGGTCCTTCGACTCGTGGGAAAATGTTAGACAAAACAAATGATTTGGCCCAGGATAAACACAACTTGGTTTTATAGATTAATTCAAGAATTTTTTTTTTCCGTCTTTAGCTTTTTCTGTTAACTCATCAAACTCCAGGATTCGATTCTAAGAGGTCAACATATACAAGTCAGGTAAGGTTTATTTAAGTTGTTTGTAAAGCAGATAAGAAATTCTGGATCCACCATAAAAGCCATACTTAATGGTTGTGCTACCGTGTCATGGCCACCATGGATGATGCATATAAAACAATGGAGAGCACAGAACCAAGCAGAAAAATGATGATCTTGGCTTCTGTGCAAGCTAATGCTAAAAGGTACAATTTGCATGAACGTCACTTGGCTCAGAAAAAAATGATCCAAATCTACAGGGTCGAAGCACTAATGAGGCTATTGCTAGTGACACGAAGGATCAATCTCAGCCTCTAACCACAAACAACAACAACAACAACGAGGCCAAGCATGATGACAACAATGATGCGTACGAGAGTTATGGTAAATTCGGACATGGTTCTTCTGAAAGTGATTCTCACCGTTATTTTGTGGATGATCAATTTTCACCCCCATTAATTAGAACTGATCCAAGCCTTGAGCTTGTAAAAAGAAGCTTCAAGCCTTCAACAATCCAGGTTGTGTAATAGGTAAAATATATGTTTGGCTTGTAATTTAATAATAAAGTGGAACTCATTAACATGTCGCCATATTATATCCAAAAGATATCTAAGGCACATGTGTTTGATTTCACTATATAGTATTCTTAGACAGACGGTAATCAGTTTGCATAGTGTGTGTTTGCAATTGATTGTACTTTCTTTTATCGAGCTGCTGTGCTGTCTGTGGGTTTTTTTAAAAAAATTTATTTTTAACCTGAGCCAAAAAAAACGTCATATTGGCTAAGATTAAAAAAACACTTAAGTAGAACGACATCATTTTGACGTCAGGAAAAAAATTTGAAGCGTTGGGCGCTACGCAGCAAGCTTCTTGCTTGCTCCTGGCTATGGTTGTTCCCTCTTTGGGGTATTTCATCAAACACCTTCTAGGCATTTGCAGGGGTCAAGTTCTTGGCCTATGGTGGATTCCGAGCTTGCAGGGGTCAATTGACCCCTCTTACCCCTATGTGGATCCGTCACTGCCTACTTTGGTGTGCACGAAAATTCCTCTCCTCGACAAGCAATTCTCTCCTCCATGATCTTTCTCACAAGCAAAGAAGTATAGAAAGACAAGTTTTGTGATATGAAGAGGAGCCTTGTATTTATAATGGCTGGGCATCCTTATCAAAGGCCTACTCCAATTAGGAGCCCAACTCACAAAAGAAGCTCAACCTACTAAGGAAGTCCAAGCACGTATTTTAGCAACCAATGAATGGGTGACACGTGGAAAAAGGAAATTCCTTAGGTCAACTAATTCCCCTAATTAAATCCTATTTAATTAGAAAAATTATATTTGATTTAAGATAGAAATATCTCTCCGAATCAAACATGAGATTTCCACCAAATCTCCTTGATTATTCCTATCACCTATTTTTGGGTAAGAATAATCCTAATTAAATAAAGGATTATTCTTCAAACCCTAGCCAAGTAAGGAGTCTATAAATAGATGGTTACACAACACACAAGAGGTAATTCTAAAACCCTAGCCAAATTCATCTCTCTCTCACGCCACTCTTTTTCCTCTCTCTCTTTCGCGGCCATGCGCCACCACACACACGGCTCTGACCACCCCGCTCTTCTTGTGAGAGAAAA